AGGACTCACTCTTTCCGAGCCTCAGGGTGCTGAAGGAATTTGGCATGTAGTACTAGGACTGCTAGGTGCTCTGTCCTAGCAAAATGCATCTGCAAAGGGCAGAATTGCATTCGTGCATGTACATGCCGTTACGGATGCAGACGTGCACGCACAACATGAGAGCACTCCAGCATGGATGGATCAATAGATAAATACATAGACAGCGGGAGAGAGAAAGGCAACCAAGCAATTCGCTTGTTTTCTATAGATGTATATCTATGACGTTGTATAAGTGTAGAGACATACATGTACATATATATATATATATACACACCATGCCCAAGCACATGTTTGACATAGCCTTACCCCACCCCGTGTACGTACATACGGGCAGCCGACGCAGGCAGACAGGCAGACAGGCAGAGAGGCAGACGGACGGACGGACACGCATGCAGGCATACATACAAACATGCACAAACACGCATGCATGCATACATTCATGAATGCACACATGCCAGCTTTTGTACCAGCTGTGTGCACCCAAGCGTATGTACTTATGATTTCTCATGCATGTATGTACGTATGTATGTATGTACGTACGTATGTATGTACGTCGTCACTGAGGTAGCGGTACTACCGCGCTGGACTCATGGTCTTGGTAGATGGGAAGTTGGCTGACGTGAGCAACACATGAAGGCAGACGCGAGACCCGGGCCGGCTCAGGTGTGGCCATTTCTTTTGTGAGCACTGCATTGCAGCCTGGGGTGCGTCGCATTCCAGTCAATCGCGCGGGTCTTGTCTTGATCGTATGTTGTTATTGGTTGCTATTCGTGGCTCGCACTATCCGATCCTAAGGAGCACGTGCCCACTGTGCCGCTGTCCGTTCGATGACCCGGGCGATGCCAAGATGCTTGAGCCATGAAAGGATGTGGATGCTGTGAGACCCTGGAAAGTGGTAAGGCCCCTTCCAAACGGTCTCAAGCTGGTCCCGTACCGCTCTTCTACGTGGCAGCCAAGAGTAGGCTGATCTCTGTGGGTGATTTTGTCCGCAGCACTCGTTAGCGTAATGGCATGTTACTGTGTATCTCGCAACAAAATCTCGTAGCGCTTCTCAGCCGTGAGAAAGGCAGCCTCTGTCAGCAGAGTAAAGGACAGTGTTCGAGTGGTGCCAAGTTCCGAACAAACAAAGCCTACGGTTCACGTCGAGAAGTCTTGACGTGAAAAGCCGGTGCTTTTCGGCAGGCAACAGGGATATGATGCAGAGTTTCAGCTGCCCTTGCCCGTTGCAGACCGTTTCAGACTGCATTCCAGAGTCAATGCCCAGTGACCCAGCACGAAGTACACGTTGATCATGCAGCTTGCCCTTTCATTGTTTTGAGTTACAAAATCGCAAAGAGTGCGAAGTGGCAGTTGGTGCACTGCTATCAGGCCTTGCCTAATCTTGCAAGCACGCAAAACGTCGGCGAGCGACGTTTCATACAGATATTGAATGAATGTTTGAACAACATCCTTTGGGATGTTGCCCCAAAGTTTTGCTGCCATGAGGATCGCTTCCTCAACACGCCTTTCTTGTGGAGGCATCAGGCATGGAAGGAAGGTCGACCTGTCAGTTGGGTTTAAATCCTTGATTATCGCGCAAGTCTGATGTTGCAAGCTTTGGGACAAGTCAGTGCTTATAACCCTTGTCGACATGCGGTGCCCTCAGGCAGCGAGGGTGCCTCACACGCACGCAATTCACATTCAGCCGCATTGCTAGCAATGTGACAACTGGCACGCTGCCTCCAGGTGTCGTGCCACTTTTGAACGACGCCGTGCTTTAGAGCACCGTGTTGTTATTTCGTGTCGCCTTGCCGAACCACAGGTAAGGCGTTATTCTGTGCATTCTGCGCCAGGTTTGGAAGGTTAAGACGATGGAGTGGCCACCAGACAACTGCCTAGGGCCGCCTATGCAGACACATGTGTGGTTTGGGTGCATGTCTCCCCAGGCGTTTCCAACGGCTGATACGGAAGGGTCGGGTCGTGCAGTTGGGGCTGCAGAAGTGGGTCATCGAGAGGCTCTACATGCTATATTCCAAAAGGATGTGTCCGTCCACGGTCGAGCAGTAGCAGCTCAGTAGCAGGGACAGGCAGCTTTGGTGGGGGACTTGTTGGTGTGATGCAGATTCTTGATCAGAACCCTTCAGCTACGCAATGCTAGCCAAAGTTGTCTGGCGGCCGTCCACGTCAACTCAGGCACTTAGCCGTTGCTTGTCTTCCAAGCTAATCTCGCTCATGGCGCAACGAGCCGAAATCTGGCTCCAGTTTGCTTAGCCCGTGCTTCGCCGAAGGGCAATCCATTTAATTGCACGGGTGCCTTCAGGCGTCATCACACGGTTGACTCCAGGCGAAGCCTTTACAGAGTGTGTTGAGATGCGAGGTATGAATCAGTAAAGGTTTATGCTCAGGCCCAGAGCTGCGAGTTTTTCAGCACGTGCTGGTTGCAGGGCTTTGACTAGTCCGGCTGACATTCCAGGAGCCGGTCTCCCCGGCACTTCAAGTGGTCCGTCAGATGCCCGGATGAGTGCGGCTTCTTGTTGTTTTTGTCCAGGAGTTTCATCAGAGATGGTCAATCTTCGCTGGGAGAGAGTCCTTGGTTCGTCGACGAGCCGAGGTGCTGCACGTCCTGTCCTGCGAGGGGTGCAGTGGCTGGCCAACCGAGTGTGTAGCTTAGCTTGCGTCCTGGCGTTTTCCTGCCCGGGCGAATGATTTTTTTCTGCCAAGGTGTTGGGCGAACGGCCCGCGAATTTGGGATGCAGCAGTTGCCTCAAGATTGTGACGTGTTCGAGTGTTGCATGGACTGGATGTATAGAATCTGATCTAGCCCAACCTAAACATCGTGACTTGGGCACCTGCAGGTCACTGGCGCGGCAGTGGGGACGACGATGAAGCATCGGCATGAAGCTTAGCTAGCGACGAGACTTGCATCCACCTCTGAAGCATCCGGACCATGGCAAGGAGCCGTGAAGTCCAGGTTGGAGTCTGTGGGTGTGATGTTTTGTGATGCCGTGTGCCGTGTGCGTGCCGTGTGTGCGTTTGTCGGAGCGAGGCGGGAGGCAAAGATTGGGATGACATGGTGTGACGGGCTGACGGGCTGAGGCTTCGGAGACGGAGTCCGAAGAAGAGATGTTCGGGGCCTATTCTTCAAGCACAACTGATCTCAGTCTTTCCCCCGCTTCGCAGGACCACATGGCAGTGGCCGGAGGAACGCCTGTGGAGGGTCCAGGCGAGAACTGGGATTCCGGGGCTCTGGAAGATTCTGAGCATCTGGAGCGATGCGGTGAACTCAGGCTCTCAACTCGGAGCGTGAGGGCGCCTTGGCAGTATAGCCTCGTCGAGGGGCCGTGTAGGCCCAAATTGCGAAGATGCGCCCCCTGAAAGCACCAGCGGCAACCATAGAGCACCATACATAGCATCATTGAAGCAGCAGCAGTCCGGCATATCTCTACATGTACAAGTGGCACATGCCATGAACTCGAAGCATGGTTCAGAAGTATGGAAGCAAAGCCTTCCAGCCAGCTGCAAGGCAGAGTCAGCGTAACGGCTAATGCTTCTCGAAGAAGGATGTTATGCTGCACGTCCGGTCGAAATGGTGCCATGCTTCCATTAGCCTCGTTGTGTTTCTGAAAACCATGCATTGAGTTTGCGTGCTCTGTGCACTTTCCGAGTCTCACAAGTCCTGGCAGCAGATCAAGGGCCCAGAGGGAACTTGAATATCTCCAGGAAAGTGTATATTCAAGATGGCTCGATGCCATGCGCACAGCAAAGATCAAGCTGACCCGTTTGAGGGCTGGCATCACACGGGCCTTCTCGTAACAAGGGCTGAGCGGTGAGGCTCAGTTTGGCCCGACCTCTGGGATCTTTCAAGGACATGCAGAGGTGGTACTCTGTAGAGTTTCCGTTCGGGTTTGGATCCCGGAGCAAAATCTCTTTGGTGCAACTTGCAGAGAATTTGCCGAGCGAGGCTCCGGGCCGAGCGAGGCGCGCACGCATTTTGTCAATTTTGGCCCGCTCGCACCTGCAAGCAGTGAGCGAGCGGAGCTCCGATGGCCTTGGAGCAGAAGGGCTCAGCAGAAGGGCTCAGCAAAGGCTACTGTAGTCGCGGCTAGTCAGGAGCTTCGAGCTTCAGAGAGCTGCCATTGTGCTTCCCTTCGAGCTCGGCCATTGGGCATTTTAGGCGAACTGCGCTCCACGCAGGGCGCAATGACAGAACATGAAGTGAAGGAGCTCAGAAGCCGGGGGCGGGCGTGAGGCCCTGTCATCCGGCACATTGCGCCTTCGGTGGAGTTGAAGCGCAGTTGTCGTCTCCGGCTGGAGGACAGTCCAACTTCCTTGGCTTTGCAAGTCTGGAGGCTTTTCGACCTATTTTGAGGTCAGCGCCAGTCCGTGCAAGCATGATTTTGTTCGTACACTGCCATGTGCATTGTACAAGCTGTGCAGCTGTGGCAGCTCGTGAAAAGAAAAGCAACACTGCAAGTCAATGTCTTGCTCGACAGCACTGAAAGAGGACCAGAGGAGGTGGTTGCGTCAGCTCTGACTATCTTGTGGCTTCCCTGCATTTCGGTGCTTCTGTTCTGCCGGTGATCCGGCTCTAGTCATCTGGGGCGGGATCGGCCCAAGTCCTGGCCGGGCAGGTGAGACATGTCGAGCATGGATGTCCACCGATGCATTCGTGCATGCGTACATGCGTGTTTGTCTGTGGGGGCGGTAGGTGGGCAGGCAGGTGCTTTACCGGTCTCTCAATTTGGTGCAAAATCTGGCAGTTTGGACCTGCTTCGGAGGGATACTCGGAACGCTATTTTTCTGCAAGTATCGCTGCACGGGCCCTGGATGGCCCCGGGCCAAGCGAGAGCACAGCCTTTTTGCAGGCCATGCTGCTTTTCCGGCTCTGGGTTTCCGGCCTCAGGACAAACTGTAGCTCCAAGCAGGAGTTGGTTTTGACACTCTTGGAACCGTGCACGAAGGGGTGAGTACTGGGCGCTCAGGTCCTGGGCTTCCATCTTTCCGCCGGCCAGCTTGATATCCCAGGTGCGGCGAAGGAACCATCAGACGCATACAATGCGGAGCACTAGCCTCGGTGTCAGCTGCCCAACCTGACGGCAGGCTATGGAGGTGGCTACAACGTGTCGGCTCACGCAAACCTTCAATATGGAGGCCCTGTTAATGTTCCCGGGGCCAGAAGACGAATGTTGTACTAGATTGCCACAGGCGACGCAGAGAGCATTGTGCGCCACTCCATCCAGACGGGGAATGACATTAGAGGCCATGTCAATCGTGTGCGTGTTTGGAAGCCAGGCAGGCTCAAGGCCCCGGGTAGCAGCTTCTCAGACCGTACTGCGGTGCTTTTATCACGCATTACTGCTCTTCGGATCCGATGGACATCCTGCAGTGTTTGCCTGGAAGGTCGGATCCATGCCATGATCGCGGCGGGGGCCCACAGAGGCATGGACTTTGCGTGCAGCCACCCATGACGTGTTGATGAGCCGCTGTGTTCAGGAGGTGCCTCGACTGGCTCTGTCTCCTTGGGAGGAGTGCGCGTAAAAGAGCAGATGTGCCCTTCTTGCTAGTGCGGCGACGTGCATCCGACCTTGGAATGCACAGGAGGATCCCACGGCTCCATGGCATCGCACCT